GGTAATCAACGTGAGTTGCAACTGGTCGAATTACATGGTATTGTCAACAAAATTTGAGTGAAATGAAGGAATATTAGATAATAACCAGGAAAAGAAAAAATGGCAATGATCTACAATACATATCTATTTTGAAACGAGATTAGGGTTCAGGCGTACACCATAGGCGTTAAGTGTGTGACTAAGTACGACCCTCATTTTCTCTTGGTACGACGGGTCTTTGAAGGTCGTGGAACATTTCCCGCCAACATGCACATTAACTACCATTCCCCAATCAATCCTTACTCAATAGGATTTTGTATGGCAATGAGACATTTGCCCGTGAAACTACATTTTTCTTCCAAAAAAATGTTTACATGATAAGCATGATATTAACACTTTATATTACACTATGCAATTCTTCAGGATCCCCCCAGTCAATAAGAACCAGTTGCCTGGACCTTGATGAAGAACCAAGAGGCATTGCACGTGTTACGCATTCGTGCATAGCAGCTGACAAGATTCTGATGCAGTGGTACAAGACTCGGGTAACTTGAGATAAAACAGCAAACACCACAAGGAGACAAGCAACAGAAGGTAGCAGGCCGAGCAAGACAACCTCGATCCACAGAAAAGCGTGAAGAAGGCTGTTACTTGGTCCCGTGGGCTCTATTCCCTCGGAAATATACGTGGCTTCCGCTAAATTGACAGTGCAGATAGCAACCAAGCTAATAAGAGAAAGGCTCTCCCAGATATTAGCTTTACGCTCGCGGAATGGCCTTGCTGTAAGATGATGCAGGAGAATTAGAAAACATGCAAAATCCAGGCAGACGAAACGTATCATTGGATCTGTGGAGAAAGCATGGATGGTCAGCAAGATCAACCTTCGGCCAGTCAGTACACTTTCCCAGTATAATGTGCCATGCTTGCCATCAGAGGAAGGTCGGAATGGATCATGAAGAACCTTTTTGATTTCTTCTGCATCGTCGCGTGAATTTACCCAGGACGGGTAAGGTTGGTTTCTATTTGGTCTCTTCTTGCAGTATCGAAAGAGCCAGATAAGAAGAAAAGGCAAAGGGAATCCACAAGATATCAAGAATTCCTTAGCCGACACTCTGTCTTTGGAAAGCATCAGCGATCCCCAGAAAAGGACTAAAACCAGGGGAATGACAAACGCCACTATGAAGACAATCAACAGATATTGCCACCACTGCCAACACTGAATGTTCCCATCCATAAACAGACGCCACTCCTGGCCAATAGGAACACAGTGAATGAGCTTGAGAGTTGTGTCTGCAAGTGTTTCGTATCCAAGTAACAATGTTTCCAGCGCCACGGCCAGATACAATGGCAGTGATGGGGCTGCCAAGTGAAACGATTTGCTAATGAATCGATGAATGGCGTGGATGAAACCGACGGAAATCAATGTTGCCAAAAACTTTAAACACATGAATAGTTCTTTGGTGACGGCATCAAGACCAGGAAATGGACAGCCAATGCTACCATTCATAGTTTTTACTTGAAAATTAAAAAGTGCAATCACTGGTGGAATGAAGGGAACCATATGTAGAGTATTCTCGGGGGACTTAACCATCACCAACTCTGCAACTTGATAAAAATAGAAGACGATCTTCAGGTACCCAGCATCGTGCTTATCACTGTTGTCTTCGTTTGATGACGACTGTTGGCGAACATTTTCGGCTTTTTTCGTAAACCACAAGCTCTGCTGATATAACAGTGAGAAGATAGGAGGCCTAAAGACGACGTAAAGTGCAAAGAACATGACGTAGATAAACGATGCCACCCAAAACCAGTGATCATTGCATTTCTCTATTTTTCTGCATGACGTGGAATACAGGACTTCACTGTACCCAGCAGAACATTGGCCACACAGCACGCCTGACCTGTTACCATGACAAACATTGTAAGCGTGACGAGAAGGATTGGTTGGAGTTCTGCAGTATTCCACTGGACATGAAATGAATTGCAGACTTGGGGGTCTTGTTGAAATGTTGAAACCCCAAAAGTTCTCTTTGGCCATAATGTTTCCATTTTCACACTTTGCTCCGTAGGGACATTTCAGGCACTCAGTGTCCTTGTTTACATTTAAACCACTGGTTGAACCTCGCTGTAAAGTATAGAAACCATCGGGACACTCATCACAGAATAATTTGATGTAACTGACGTTCACCCAACATGTCTCGTTAGCATCCCAGACAGGTTTCTCATCACCATCCTTGACAAGTTCAAAACCGGTTACAGTTTTCTCTTGTTTCATTTGCTGTCCGTACCGGCATCGAAGAGTAGAAGAGTTATCAATGTTTATTAAGCTGCACTTAGTAACTTCAAACAGTGGGTCATAGAATTCCCTGTCAACGTTAGCTGTAAAAGAAGAACTTTCAATCGTGACGGGACCGACACTCTCAGAGCGCAGAAAACAGCCATAACTAGAGACTGGTTGTTTTACGTATCGTTTAAAAACAGTTTGAAGAAATGAACTATTCACAATATTAAGCCTACCATAGCCTGTTTTCATGAACACGTGACCTCCCGGTGTTAATCCTTCGTTGTCTTTAAAATGACAGTTTTTGATGGTGACGTTGCCGTTCATGAGGTCTAAAGCACCAGAGACACCCACGTTGCCTTCAAATATGCTATCCTCAAATATGACAGGGAGCTTAAAGTTCTTCTTCCATATAAATTCATTACCGATGTTCCGTTCTCGTTCGCAACATTTAGGCGGATCGTCGTCTGTAATTTCGATATGCACGGTTGCTCGATCGACTAAACGATGCATTAACTGAGAGTTGTTAAGAAACTTGCAGTTTTTAAATGAAATCAGCCCATGAACATTTTTGTCGGCCTCAACGGACAGGGCACAACCGTGTAATTCGAGAAAGGTAACATTTTCGAGAAGTAACTTTGCTTCAAAGTCTAAAGACCAATATAACTGTTGATCTGGTTGCATCGTCACCACATCATGAGAATGTTGTGTTTGTGTTGTAGGACTCAGTTCCTGCGTGGGACGTTTTATTGCAAATCTGATTGCATCACCAGAGCCTCGTGTTTCGTGACCTAGAAACAGGCTGTTTCTTACAACAAGTGTTTGGTCGCTTGTTGAGCAATTGTAACCTTTACTTAAACAAGAAGTGGTTGACATCCGAATGCCAATCCTGTTGTTTGCCAAAAGACATTCGTCGAGGAGAACTTTTATCCCTGGTGTTGACTTTGTTGTTTTGGGAGGACCACTGGCCGCGATGGAATACCCATAGGTGGAGTTTATAGTCACTTTGGCTAATCTTAAGTCAAATCCACCGTGGACAAAAACAGCATTCTGGTTATTTATGAACGAAGTGTTCGATAATGTCACATTTCCATGGCTCAAATCGTGCCGAATTCTCACCGAGAAAGCGAAGCCATTGTCCTCGTGACCGAGCTCTCGGAAAATGGAATCGGTGATGGACGCAGTTACATACATCTTCGGAAGCTCCTCCAAAACTGTCGAACGGACGTACACGGCAGCTGTTGTATTTCTATCCCATGATGTTACATTAAACTGTCCCTTTCTGCCCTGGAAAAGGCATCTTGATATCGTCAGATTGAAGAATTCGTTAAATAAGTAGACTATTATAGAGTTTTTATTGTACCAGAATTCACTGTCGCTGACCGCAAGCGTCGACTTCTTGCGGCTAGGAGCAGATGATTCTTCTTGTCGCATGTCAACTCCATACCGGCAGTTCATAAACTTGCATTTAATTATTGAAACATTAAAGGAGGACACATTATAAAAAATGACATCAGTAGCGTTGAATACAAGGTTAGAGAGAGTGACTTCAAGAATGCCACCTGTAGCATGTGTGCCAAAAATTAGATCAGCGGGATTTTCGCAGGAAATGTGGGCCTCGGAGAACTGACCTTGTATTGTAACACTTTTGAGCATTATTATCCTTTCTTCCCCATTAGCATCGTTATCAATTCTTGAACAGCCGTATGGATGTAATTTACTTTTCTTTCCATTAAGACAAATCTTGCCGCCATCACGAACTAGCCGTAGTGCTTGTGGTAGACTACGGCATGGCGTGAGAGAAGAACCGCAGTGAGGAAAGTCTTCGCCAGTAAGGTGGGAAACAAAGAGGCAATCATCTTCTTCTTCGTCAGCACCTGAAGAAAATCAAAATGTGAAACCTTGTAATATGCAAACTATATTGGCAATTCCCTGAAGAACTTATGAAAACGAGTTTTCATTGCAGACACTAATTTGCCCTGGTGAAACTTACAGTAACTCCCCGGAAAACGAAACACCTTACGTTTATAGAAAGGCACACAAATGAAACAGCCATCTTCTCGACTCATAATAACTGTGCTGTCGTGTCCGAATCCCCCGCCCCCTCCCCCTCCCAGCCGAATGCCATGGATTTATGCCACGGTTTGCGCATCTCAAAAAATATAGCCTAAGTTCGTCGTTTGCAATCCGTGTTAATCTTCTCTATCCTAAACCATCCTTGTTTCTCTATAGTTTATTGTTACAGCTTTGGTGTTTTTCTATCTTAGTAAACTACTATTTTCAGGTTTCCTTCAATTTAAAGGTAATTTTGTAGGTGGCTAAAATAACTCAAAATACCGACTCTGAGCTCATTTAGTCCACAAATGCTGAATATCTCAAGCAACGAGATAAAGGGCAGTAGATTAGGTCAGGTCAGTTCATTCCCGTACAAGTAAGAAAATTATATTATTCTGTATAAATCTTGGCCAATATATTCATATTCGTTGATGTTCGTACATAAACTTTATTGTATTGTGTATTGCATCTGGATATACTTAACAGTTTTTATAACATAACTAAAGCAAAGCGCGCGCTCTGATTGGTTAATTTAGCGTCTACTATTTGCCTATGGGTGTACGCTGCTGACGTGTGTGCTAATGTTTACAAAGCAAATC